TCCTTTATTACTTTTATAAGTAATTCAAGGTGGTTAACATATGTAATATTCCTATCTTCTCCTTCTTATCTCCACAACAAGAACTTTGTGAGAGGGGTTGGGCTGAGAGAGAATGACTGGCCAAAGTTACCTAGCCAGCTTTCATGCTTAAGGCAACACTAGAACTCACAGTCTTCTGATTTGTAGGCCAGCACCTTAATCACTACAAGCTGGCTGTATAAGCTGGCTGTAACATTTATTTTCATAATTGATGTTCAGCCAAAACAAAGTGGCCATAGTCATTTGGATAGATAAACTACACTTATAAAGACACTTCAAGTTGCCTAGAATGAGAGAGACAAGAATAGATCTTTAGTGAGAAATTATGTCCAGAATTTATCCTGGTTTTGAAAGCAAATTAAGGATTCTTATTCTTAAGATCAATGCAAGATGCCCACACAATAAAGCCAAAATTCTGTGTACGTATCTGAAGTAAGCTTCTACCGCTCCCCCTCCCCCTCCCCCTCCCCCTCCCTCTCTCCCTCTTTCTCTCCCGGGTATTGTGTGTTAGAGAACACAAGATTGTATGGAAAGAATAGTAAAACAGGACTAGAGGAATTTGATAATAGATTGATTGAGTGATTGATTAATCACTCAATCACTTGATTATTTGCTATTAAGTCATTTTTGATTCCTAGTGACCGAACTGCTAGGTTTACTCCATGATAATGCCTGGTTCGAGCTCAGTGGGAAGAAAATCCTGCTGATTTGTGTAGAAGCTAAGTACTATTTTTGTGGCAGTGCAGGACAATAACATAGGCAGAACACTTATGATAGTTGAAAGCTTTACATTGATACTTCCCTCTTTTTCTTTTCAGTGTATGTAATGATGTTTCTTCTGAATTTGAAATGGAGGCTGCTGAACATGTCAAAGTACCATTTTCAGGTCAGGTAGTGGAAAGTCAGATAGTTTTTGAGGGCTCAGCAGATCACCTTGTTAGCTTGGGGGATCCACCATGCTTGCCTAAGGAGCAAAATTTCCTTCACCTGATAGTAACATCCATGGAGATGACCATCACATTGGTACCATTTACTTCTGACACCCATGAAAAAGGCAGAGTGGTTGCAGACACTTGCCTAAAGACTTCAGTCCCCGTTGAATGCAAATTTGGTGTTTCTCCTCAGGAGGGGAAATTCCCAACACAAGCTGGCATGTTACCTTGCAAATGCAAGCACTCTTATGGGCAATATGGACAGGTGAAAAAAAAAAGACAAACGTTGATATCAGATAAAAGCCTGCCTAATAAGAATTTGTTCCCTACAGACCAACAAGTTGAAACAACAGGACACTTACTTCCTAGTCAACTCAATTTGCCTGCAATTCCATCATACACCCCCGGCTCTTATTGTGTTCCCCCACAGTTACCTTAGAAAGTCCTGCACTGTCAGTCTTGCAAGCCTGTTGCTATAGACACAAGCTATCTCAAAAATCCAATGCAACAGCTAGACTAGAAGGAGGTGGCTGCAATCTCTCCCTGTAAGGAATGGGAAATGCACAATTCTTGCAACTTTCCCAGCATTGATAGTACATTGAGCAGCCTACCTAGATTCCATGAGGACAAATAAATACCCTGAAACTGGTGGACTGTGAGCTGGAGTGCTTCTCATCTTGCATGGATGTATTTGAGCTAGGACAGAATATGTTGCCACAGCAACCAGGTTCAGGGCCAGACCTTTCCTTTCTTACCCACTGACTAGTCCTTCAGCAGAAGCAAAGGTCTCTTCTACCATATCTGAATGAAATGAAACACTTCTTTGGGTGCTGGCAGGTGCATCCTATCTCTCTTCAGAGAGTCCGAATGATGCTACATTGCCCGGGATCTGTATTAGCTTGCAAAATAGTAACTATGAATTCCATCTCTGTTCTGTACTCCAGTAGACATCTGAGCAGGGACAGATGAGCAGAGCAACCTTAAATGAGCAGAGCAACCTTCTGGAGATAGAAAGGGCTTCCTTTACTGGAGTTGAGAATTGCCTGAAAAATGGCCCCTAGTTAGACTTTTCTCATCAACTTCTGGCTGCCTGTTTTTTATATGCATATAACGTTTCCATGTAAAATTATTAAGACCAGCTGCCTGCAATTACTGCAGGGTTCGAATCTCGCCAAGGCTCAAGGTTGACTCAGCCTTCCATCCTTTCTAAGGTAGGTAAATTGAGGACCCAGTTGTGGGGGCAATAAGCTAACTTTGTATAAATATACAAAAGGATGAAGGCTATTGCTGAGCACATTGTAAGCTGCCCTGAGTCTTCGGAGAAGGGCGGCATATAAATCAAATTAAAAAATAATAATCCCAAGTTTCTTTACCTCTGTTGCAGGAAGAAGCCATCTGCCATTTTTTATGGGCTGATTTGAGTGCATGCTGTATTTCTCCAAAGACCCCCAAATATCTTTGTGTGTGTGTGAGAGAGGTAGAGATGACATGTTTGAGCCTTTTCAGAAATTAAGCAAGAATATTCATCTATGTAGGTACCTCTATTAGAATTGTTACAACAGTCTTAATTGGATGTCCTAATGGGAGTATTGCCTTGTTCATTTATTCGCGGGGGAAAAGTTACAGTAATATTCTTCCTTCTCTTCAGCTTTGATACAACTTAGTGTTAAGGAGGTCAAACCAGCACAAAATTTGTGAACAGTAGTAAAGGATGGCAAGCATAGAGTGTTCACTTTCACTAATCAACCAGATTGGAGTAGGGCACGTTTATGCTCCCTCCTGTCCCCCTCTCCAGACAGCTATGTCTTTGGGCCTTTTAATAGAGGGAAGTGGGAGTAGAAAAGCTGCTTGTACATTTTGCAGTGATCTAGTTTCAATTGCCCATCCTTTTCAAGTCCCACAAGCATTTTTGTGTTTGCATATCAATATGTTTTTTAATTAATGATATTTTTCTTCTTCAGCTTCTTTAAGTGTAACTTAACATATTCTCTTTTATAAACTAAATTTATGTATATCACTATACCTGATGTGTGGAGTTGAAGAGATTATTAGAATTTTTGTTCATTGCTACTTGATCTGTGTATCTACTGCAGCCAATCTAACTCACAAAAAAAAAAAAGAAAAAAGAAAAAAGAAAATGTATGCACAGAAGACTACGGTAATAAAAGTAATGTTATTAATAAAGCATCTAACATTTTTCAGAAAAACACATCTCCTTGTAGTACTACTACATCAGTTACCAATACCTAAAATATTTCTTTTCCTTTTTTAAGCTCCATTTTTTTTATGAGAGGTACAGAATCATAAATATATAGAACTAGCAGTTTGTATTCTGGAAATCTCTTCTGCAATCAAAGACTCAGGTTGCACTTGCCTTCAACATAGAAACTTTGGCATGGCGGAGACATTGCTTTTTGACTCACAGTTGTTTGAGAAATTAACATGGTAATTCCATGTTATGTTATATATAATCACTGGGTCCACACATCACTCTAAAATTGTAACTTGGTTAAATGAAGGAGTGCAGGAAGGTGAATTTCTTGCCCCCTCCTGTGTTTCTTTTTCAGCTTAATGATGACACACCCAAACCCATTCTTCTCTCTGTACATAGCAAAAACATACATTTGAAATGCATATCACTTCTGTTTCAGTCCCTGGAAATATTCAGCAACTTTTACCAGAAGCTTCCATTTATATTTTCTGCTACTGTTTGCATTATAAATAATGCCTCAGTAATTGCTACGGTCTGTCTTTATTCATTTTTGTTCTTCACAGTAAAGACATTTCTCCCACAAATTTTAATTTTCTAATGAAATTGGTGGCATAAATAATAAAAACAACAAGAATACAATAGTACTCTTAATGAATGGAAACAACTGAAAGCTCTTTCACTCTTTTCCAAACACCAGGAATTTACATAGTAAAAGATAATTAAATCTAGTTTTTAAACTAAAACAACTACAGGGAAAAGATTCTAATTAAAATTAGGAGACCTGGACATTCTCTATAACTTCTTGATTCACCTCAAACAGGTTGATACAGCAACATACAAATGAAGGAAATTATCCTAAAATATATATTTTTTTAAATGGGGTGATAATATAGAAATCATTATAATGTTACAGAAGATCAGTGTTTGCGTCCTTTACAAAATTCCCACTAATAAAAGAACAATTCTGGACTATTGTAGAAACAATCATATTCTGGTTTTAAGCAGAAGTGAGAGAAAAGTTATAAAGAACATGACAGTCATGAAATATATGACCTCTATTTTAATTAGAGTAATCATAAAACAATCTAGTATGTTTGGGTACTTAGCATTTTATGATATAAAGGCCTAGATGTGGTTATGGAGAGAATTTAAAAAACCAATAATCCATTAAAGAACAAAAAGATGGTCCTCTTAGTATTTAGATAATAGGTGATCTCAAAAAATTGCATCTTACAGATGTAAATTTGCATCTCTAAGTCTGATCAAAATCCTTGTTCTTAAATATGTCATATGCCATACATAAATATTGTGTAACTTAAAGGTAGGGCAGGGTACTTGAAACAATGAACAAATTGCAACAATTACTTTATAGCTATTAAAAGGTTGGAGGACAGTTTGGGAAGATAGCCACAGTTTATTTGCCTATATCAATTGACTACTAAAACAAGTTTTATAAAAACTGAATTATATCAGAAAAGAGAAAAAGCAGGAACAAGTTACTTGAGCTGCTTCACATCCTTCCTTGCCAGTTTCCACACTGAGTTTGCATATGAGAAACTGGTGGGGAAGGTTACAAATGGCTATCACATCACTATGGCTCTTTGCAATGTACAGTAATTACACGCTGGACACACAATGCCCTGATAGTGATCATATGACTGTGGGGATGTTACTACAGCTGTTACTTGGAGGACCAGTTTTATGTCCATTTTTTTCCAGTAATACCGTAACTTTGAATAACGATTCAAATTTATGGTATCACTGAAAAAAATGGACACAAAACTGGTCCTCCAAGTAACAGCTGAGCAAATAGACGTAAACTGAGGGCTACCTATAATTGTTGGTGACTCAAACTTGTGAATGGTACAGTACCCTTTGCACAAACTTCATGGTGTACCATGTTTGCTGGTCAGTTTGCTTTAGTGTTGCCTTCTATATATGATATCTGTACAAGATTGCACATTGCTGGCTGGCTTGATATGATTTACTAAATAAAATTTAATTTTATCTAAATAGGTCAGGCTTATTCTTCTGCCCTGAGTAAAGGGGATGGAATTAAGCATAATCTACAGGCTCCCTGGTAATAGTGGAAGGCATTTGGAAGACAAAATCTTTGACTTTAAACTCAATAAAATTGAGAATCTGGTCAGTCTCCAAAGGTGCCAGCTCCTTATTATATAAATGATCAATGTTTGTGCCTATGATAAATTTTATTGTGACTTGACTGATTGTCAACAATCAGTTTATGTCTGCGTGAAGGAGGCTGATATATATATGACACCCCTCTCCTTTTGTGAGTTTTACTGCCTTCTCTCATGCTTGTCCATACAGAAAGTCTGTGTATGGAGCTGGAGAGCAAGCGAGCACCAGAGACGGCTCTTCCATGTTAAAAAGGCAGGAGGAGGGATCTTTGTAGCTCACGTGTCCCTTTTCTCTCTTGCTTCCACCCCCCCCCTCTTGCAATTCTCCACAGTTCTCCCTCACATCATGTTAGGCTCTTCTATCCATCACTGCATAATCAAGAGGAAGAAATTTTTGTCTTTCTCCTGTCTGTTTCCAACTCTTTGCTGGTTCTGATTTGCCTCTGCAAAAGATTCCCATCGCCTGTCCTGAACTGCTTTTTCTTCCACTCCTCTTCTTCCACCCTTCTCTTTCTCAGAAATAATCCAGAAGGAAGAGCAAAGAGGAAAAGCAAGGAGAGGCAAGGCAAGGACCAGTAAGAATCCCAGACTTTCAATGCAAAGCAAAAGAAAACGAAGAAAGGGCACCACAATCTGCCTCCCTTGCATGCCAGACAGCTGGTGCCAACTCTGGTTCCGATTATGAAGGCATTATGAGCTGCTCGCTCCAGAACTGGGTGTTGACAGCTTTCTGCTGCTTGCTGCTTTGTCATTCAGGTGAGGGAAAAAACTCTCTTTGCTTTGGCCTCCCAACTTTCCCCCCTTATCCCCCCCCCGCGTCTCTCTTTGTATTGTTTTGGAGTAGTGAGCACTGTATGAGGTAGGAAGCTGGGTACAGGCACTGGAGTACAAATCAAGCAGTGGGAGTTACATTGCATACATTTCTCAAAGTGAAAGGGAGCACCATATTCCAATACTGCCTCTTTTTTCCTCCCCATCCTCCAGCAATGCTTTCACTACTCACCTTTTGGAATGGGGCACATGGGGAAGGGGATGCTGCAATTTTCTGTTTGTAAATATATCCCTTGTTTAAAATCCATTCCTTCTTTATAGACACATTTTACATTCCATCAGCGCTGGGACTGCAGTCTGCTGCGTCGACACATTTTCTGCAGTTCCTTTCTGAGGAGGAGATGGTTAAGCAACAGCTGGGGAGGGTGTCTGAAATCGCCTGTCAGGTTTACCTGGGAATGGGGCAGAGGGCAGAGGATTCCTCTGGTATTTGCCATTCAAGCTTAAAGAGTGACAGCTATGCTCATAGATTTTTTGATAAACATGAATGAATTGGATGAAAGAAGCTGGGGAAATGGGAAAAACATTGAAATGCTTGGGAATGCAGTAACCCAGGGTTCAGCCTAAGTATTTTAGATGCTGGGGCCAGTCAAAAAATACATGTGATTATAACAAACAAAAAGAGACACAGTCCTTGAGTACATGCAGAGTACATTCCCTTTATTGTTGTCCGGTGGCCTGGAGATATCCAAATTGAAAGGTAGTAAATGTCAATTCCAGAAAAGGTTTAACCTCAGCACCTGTCATTTCTAGAATGTAAAGTAGTGTGCATGCCCAAAAGAAAGTGAATCAGGCCTAAGGTTGTGTGAAAGGACACTGAGATGGCCGTTTTCAATATGGATTGGCTTTTCTTTATACTAGCTATGTGCAAGTGTTCCTGCCAAGCATTGACTTTTACTATACACCAAGGTTTGGCTTAGTTCAGTTTGACTAAGAATGCATTAGAATTTAGTCCTCAGGTGTCTTCTGGCACTCAGCCTACAATCTAGAACAGATTATCTGAGTATATTCAGATTTTTGCCTTCTCCACTGATACCAAAATGACCTGTTTCCCTTCCACACCAGAATTTATGCACAAGGATTTTCACTTCCAAATAGATTGAACTCCTTTGTTGATCTTCCAACTACTCTTTTCTCTTTGCTTTGATTGCACCTTGCACAACAATTGTTGATTTTGTTCTGTTTTTCATTTTGGAGGTTTTGTGAAGGCAGATCCACAACCTGGTGATTTGCGGAGGTGGGTCCCAAATTCCAGTTGGCGCAAAAGATGGGGTATTTCAGAAATCACATATCCCACTAGGCTGGTGAAACACAACTCTGGGGGAGAGATCCAGAAGTATCAACTGGACACAAGAGTGAGAAAAGAGACTGGTGGCAGCAGAGGAGGCGACAGAAAAGGAGGAAGCCCTGTAAGTGATTCCAAGAAGCTTCTCCCACACACCATTTCATAAGCTGGTTTTCTTTTTCTTCTCACAGCTTTGTACTAAGGTTCCTACCAATAAGGCACAGGTGGCTGTGGGAGGAGAGAGCAAACTCCAAGCTGTTCTTTGAAGCCAGATGGTATACACATGTAATGGCTGGGTGGCAATAGTTACTTCCAACTTTTTAACTGGATACTAATATTCAGTGGTGCAGCACTTTGGTTTTAGATAACTCAAGCATTTTTCTAGGACAAGAAGTGAAATGTCTCTGCTGGCATTCCATCTCCTGCCCACTGTTGCCAAAGCCAATTCTTGCCAGCATTCTGAGTTAGATATGTCCATGGGAAGGGACTTTGGACAAGTTACCCTTGTTCAGCAAGCACAAGATGTTTTCATCCCAAAACATCACTTATATTTATCTTTCCTATGTAATCAGTAGCAATAATAGCTAAGTTCATATGTCTTGCTAAGCTATGATTTACTGAATCATAACTTATTAAATAAAGTACTATTATTTGGATTTACATGGTACAGTGTACCATAAACCAATTGTTTTCTGTTCTGCAGACCATTAAATTGTCATAAAAAACACTGAGAACTACTACATATGCCAAGGCTGGCAACATACTGACTTTGGGCTCTGTGGTACATTCCACCGATGGTACCCCTAGGAGCCCAAATCAAATAAAAAATAATCAAAGAATGGCCATATCTAATGATATTTTGGTGCTCTTACCTAAAACACTGTAAGAAATTTGCCAAAACTACTACACCCTTGATAATCTTTTGAGGCTGATAGTGTATAAATATGTGAAAGATCATGGAGAGGGGGCAAGTGATATACACTGCAATATTGTGGCACAAATCTTGCCCCTTGTGTATTTTTATGCAATGCAAGTTCAAAAGCCAAAGCTTGTGTCATGATCTCACAACTCACATTTTATCATTTTGATGTCATTATTGGTTGCAGATGCTTGTGTGTATCTCTGTAGTTTAATAGAATGATCTGTCTTTTGTTCAGGAACTACTAATGGATGATAATTAATAAACATAATAAGACTTTCAATTACTATGTACGTGGCCCATCTATGGTCCCTAATTATAGATTGAGATCACCGACAATCAGTCATGGTTTAAAAAGCATACTATATAAACCCCAGCTAACAAAAATTTACTTGCAAGATTTGCACTGCTCTATTAGAATTTGCTCAACTGATTTGATTGTGCCTGGAAAAGCAGACGATTGTCCTCCAGTTGGGTGAGGTCAAGCAGGAAGCATTACTTTTCCATGATAGAGACAGTCCTCAGGAAGACTTTTCCCACCCATCTTTTTCCACTTGGCAGAAGATGAAGATGGAATTCTTTTAAGAGGGCATAGAGAAAATGAGCCCACTTGACAGTTGTTGGTAGGTTTTTCAATATTTTGTTTCTGTATTATTATATATTCTGTGTTTTATTCCTTTTTGTAAGCTGCTATGTATCTGTTTAGATCAGTGTTTCTCAACCTTGGTAACTTGAAGATGTGTGGACTTTAACTCCCAGAATTCCCTAGCCAGTATGGTTTAGATTTAGATTGTGGTGAGAAATAAATAAATAAACCACAATTGCTATATTCCCACAACAAACTGTGGCTCCTCCAATAAATTGTATCATGGCTGAAGGCGATGACTATATTTTTATAACCTGCTGAAGCACAAACTTACCAACCTGTTTTTATCTAGTCTAATGTGTTATGTGAACTTGAGCTGATGATGTACTGCAGCTAACATCATCACTCCAAAAGAAAGTAATATGGTGTGGATAATGGGATCTGGGATTATTTTTTCACCTTTTGGGGTAGATGATAGACATTGCTCTAGAATCCAATCTGAAGAATTCAAATTATGGAGATCATGGAGAGACATCAGAACAGTATAATATCAGTTAAAACTGCAACTCTTTTAAATAGAAAGTATCAGTAGTTTAGGATTACTTCCACTTTCCTATTTTCTTTATTAGTCAATTTCATCTTTGTCAGTATTTCTTGAAGTAGTACTGTTGGTAATTAAAGGTGAGCTTTACCTACTCAAGCACAATATAAAAGCAAAATATTTCACAATTCTCAATTTGTGTCCATGACAAAAAGAAATGATGAAAGGCTAGAAAATAGAAGAACTATTGTACTTGCAAGACGTCTCGGCCACCCTTATTCCTTTTTAAAAACTCTTTAAATCTGAGTTTCCAGATAGCTGGATTCCAAGATTTTAGAAGCAGGGTATTACGAGGTCATCATTTATGTAGGAGCATATTAAGTGAACAAAATCTTGCTCAGAGCTGATCAGCTTTGCAGTATACAGTTTCTGATTTAGCATTCATGTGGGCATTAGATCAATTAATGCTTAATATCAATACAGTCATCTTGATTGCTGGTTGTGCTTGCAGATGCACTATCCAGTTAACCAAACCATAGTTTACTGAATCCGCCCAACTCTCTATGATGGCACAATGCATGGAACCCAAAGCTAGCCAAACATTTTTTAATATGCAAATCCAATTTTTGGACTATAGAAAGAAAAAAGAGACAGAAATCAGAGAACATTTGCATCAAAGCAATAATATGTTATGCAGCAGTCTTAAGCCATTATAGATTGTTCTCCCATGTTTGATGCTTGCCTCTGAAATGAGAACTTTTTAAAAAAATGAAAAATGTAATAATCACATTTACCTCCACTTTCTTGTCTTTACCTTTTCTAGCATTGTTGGATTACAACTCTCATCATACCTAGCTAATTATATTGTGCTTCATATCTGGAAAGCAGCAAGTTAGGAAAAATAGTCTGAATAGATATGTCATTTACTTCCTAATGTCAGTTCAACTTTCACCTTTTTATGTTCTGCTGACTCTGCTTTCTGTTCCTTTCTCGAAGGCTGTGTTCACATATAACCCTGAGCCCCCACCTGACCACATTTTTGCTTTGCATACATACCCATCCAAGTTGTTAGCGTGTTGTGTGAACTCATACTGGGTTCACTAAGAAAAAAAGAAAAAGTTGATAAATTGCAATTAAATGTGGCACACAAGCTCAGCAAGTGAGAATTATGGCTTTGCTGATTTTGAATTCAGAAAGATGGGAGCCTAGATCAAATTATGATACCTGCATTATGTTGCCATGATTCAAATGGTGTGATTTACATTCTTGCATCATGAATGTTTCATTTGTGTGTGTTGATGTTATGATGCACAAGTCAATATTCTGATGCACAGAACCTGTTATGGACATGTATGGCTGTCATAGATAGTTTCTTCAGGAAAGATATGCCTGACCTATATAAGGATACTTGCATAGCTATTTATAGTGTAATACAGTGATAGATTTTTATAATATCTCAAAACATAAAGCATCATTAGTTAAATATTAGTGGGAAACTTGTGCATTCCTATTGGATCTTTTAATCTCATCTGCTCACGTTTTCATCTTTCTCTTGTTCTACTGACCTCAGTATGCCAACTACATACTGTAGATAAAATTAGAGATCTTAAAGCAATTGAGGGAAGGCTTATTTGCAGAGCTGCCTTAGTTTTAAAAATGCTGCCAAGCGTAAGTGGCCAGGGGATGAAGCTGCAGGGAGAATTGGATATTTTTGACAGTTTTCTTCTCTCTAAAAAATAAATAAATTAATTTTAAAATTCTAGATAATCCCTACTTCAACTACTAGGTTCAGAAAGTTGCTACACTCTTTAATAATTTCAGAGGGGAGACAAATTGTTATACACAGGGAATTGTTTTTTTAACTGAACATTCACAATTCAGTAAAGAAATAGAAGTTCTTCTTTGTCTCCAGTAAAAATATGTTAATGGATATGGTCTGTTTTTAATGTATCTTGTTAGATATTCTAGGTAAATGAAAGCCGTTGCTGCTATTAATTTATCCAGCCTTTTAAAATATATATAGGCATATGTTAGACATATTGTGGGCTTGGTTATAGATCATAGAAAGTAGATATTTCAATAGAGTAAAAAAATTTCTTGTTTTTCTAGTGCATATATAATTACACTATATTGTACTCTACTGTACTATTAAGTGTGCAATAGCATTGTATCTGAAAATGTACATACCTTAATTAGAAATGCTTGATTGCTAAAATGCTAATAATCTGAGCTTTAGCGAGTTCTAATCTTTTTCTGATGGAGGGTAAAAAAAAAGAAATGCAGTCTCTGTGAAGTGCAATAAAGCGAAGCATAATATAATAAGGTATGTCTGTATAACTCAAGAAGCTGAATATACTTAATAGTTCTGCTCCTGTATTCCACACAACAACATCCCTGTGAAGAATGGAGAGAATGACTGCCCCTTTCATGCCTAAGGGAGACCTAGAACTCAGTTTCCTGTGAGTTTTTAACCCTGCACCTTAACTATTATATCAAAGTTAAGTGGACAGGAGACATTCTCACTCAAATTCACACATTTTAGAAATTGATGCCTGGCCATTTTTTCATCTCAAAATACATATTTCCTATTTTGATGACTTCCTATATTTAAAATATTTGCACAATATTATTTGTATGCTATTGTAGGATCTCAGTGTCTTTTATATCATATCTTCTGTGGCAGCTGTTCCAAGATGATAGTTTTGTTAGATAGGATGTAGGATTGTCCCCCAAGTACAGGATCTGCAAAAAGACCCACTTGCAAAATTTAGAGAATTTTTGTTTCCTTTGGCTCTGCCTTCCTTCAGCAGGAAGAAATAGAAGAAAAAGCATTGGTCACACAGATTATTTTGCTTTGCTGCATTTTAATTCTGGTTCTAACCACTATGAGATCCCCTGGAGTTGTGATAGGAATTAACATTTGGTGGCATTCTGGGAATTTAATTTCAGAGAAGAGTATTAGAGATGGACAGTGAAGTATTTTCTGGCAGGATCTGCAGAACTGGCTCACTTCCCTATGCAAAAAGACCCACCTGAAAAATTAGAGTGCTTCCAGATGTACTGCTCAATGTGCTGCTA